GTTTGAAAGAGACAAAAACAAACAAACTGAAAAAAAAAAAAAAATAAGGGCAGGGTACCCATGCTCCATTGGAGCACGCAGACGGAGATGGAATTCCCGCTGGCCCAGAAGGTGCATGGGAATGAGTGATGGCCGCACCTCCGTTCACCAAGAGGGTGTGGGGTATAAGAGTAATAAAGGGAATATTGCACCTTTCTGGTTGGTTGTGTCCGCAATGTCCTTGTGGTCCCCAGTAAGTATAGCCTATTCTTAGGTCCCTGGAATCTGAGAGAATGCTTTCACTTTAAATATCTTACATCTAACATTCAAAATGGCTGCACCCTCTGTACAGCCAAAAGTCCACAGTTCAGCCCATCTCCCTCTTTGCTGCTTCTCCTTTTTATTCATCAGCCACCAGTGTATTCCTCCATGCAGCCCCTGGCTAGCAGGGCCAATTTTTAGGTTAATTGTTAGGTCCTAACCCCACTTGGGGGAGTTCTGGTAGCATAGTGCCTGAGGCACTTGACTGCTAACCAGAAGGTTGGCCACCAGCCACTCCTCGGAAGGAAGGTTGTGCAATCTACCTCCGTAGTGATACCACCTTGGAAACCCAAGGAGGGGTCGCTGTGAGTTGGGTCTGACTTGACGGCAAACAACAACCACCAACAATCCCACTTGGCAATATCCAAGCTGTCTTTGCCATTAGGATCACTGCTGGACTGTAGCTCCGTATGTCTCCTTTTTCGGTGTTTTCATGCTTGGAGGTTAGTCCACTTCTTTATCCTTCCTTTCAAAGCTCAGGGCTCCAGGATTATCTTCTGTATCTGTATTAATTGGTTCCCCTTTTCTTTGCTGAAGAGGGTCTGTGTACTTTGTCTGCCTATTCCGCCATTTACTGGAAGTCCTCTGTGTTTTACTGACTGCAAAGGCATTCAACTGTGTGGATTATAAAATATTATGGATAACATTGCAGAGAATGGAAATTGCCGAACACTTAATTGTGGTCATTAGGAAACGGTACATAGACCAAGAGGCCGTCATTCGAATAGAACAAGGGGATACTGCATGGTTTTAAAATCAGGAAAGATGTGCGTCAGTGTTGTATCCTTTTGCCATATTTATTCTTCAGTCTCTATGCTGAGCAGATAATCTGAGAAGCTGGACTATGTGAAGAAAATTGTGGCATCAGGATTAGAAGAAGGCTCATTAACTGCCTGCAATATGCAGATACAACCTTGCTTGCTAAAAGTGAAGCAGTCTTGAAGCACTTACTGATGAAGATCAAAACTACAGTGTTCAGTATCAGTTACACTGCAACATAAGGAAAACAAAATTCTCACAACCGGACCAATAAATAACATCATGATAATTGGAGAAAAGATTGAAATTGGCAGGGATTTCATTTTAGTTGGTTCATAGTCAACACCTGTGCAAGCAGGGGTCAAGAAATCAGATGTTGTATCACACTGGGCAAATCTGCAAAAGAACTCTTTAAAGTGTTGAGGAGCAAAGGTGTCACTTTGAAGACTGAAGTGCACCTAACCCAAGTCACGGTATTCTCAAGAGCCACATATGCATGTGAAAGCTGGACAGCATATATGGAAGACTGAGGAAGAGCTGATGCCTTTGAAGTGTGGTGTTGGCAAAGACTGCTGAAAATACGACAGACTGCCAACAGAATGAATAAATCTGTCCTGGAAGAAGTACAGCCAGAATGTTCCTTAGAAGCAAGAATGGCCAGACTTCATCTCACCTGTTTTGGTCATGTTGTCAGAAGGATATCATGCTTGGTAAAGTAGAGAGACAGCTAACAAGAGGAAGCCCCTCTATGAGAGATTGACAGGGGTTGTGACACTGGGTTCAAGTATATAGCAGGGGTGTGAGAATGGCGCAGGACCTGGCAGTGTTTCATTCTGTTGTACACAGGGTTGCTCTGAATCAGAGCCGAGTTGACAGTACCTAGCAACAACAACAACATGGGGAAGGGGGAGAAAGGGAAAAAGAAAGATAGATACAAAGAATGAAAGACACTGTAGTGCCTTTTATGACCTCTTTTCCACAGCATTACTTCCCCTTCTGCTTTTTTTTTTTGGTCAGAAGCCAATCACCAAGTCCAGCCCTAATTCAAAACATAGTGATTCAGATAAACCCCTTAAAGAGAAGAATATCAAATACATTTTGGACATTTTTAAATCACCACAAATAAGACAGGCTCATCTGTCATGGAATACTAATATAAGCAATATTGAGCAACATTGTTATAATTGTCAAATAGTTCTGGTTCCAGGTGTGCACAACTGGGTCTGTTTCCCACCTCTGCTATCCTCTAGCTGTGTAATTTTGAGAATTTCCTTTATCTCTTTCAATCATTGTTTACTAATTTGTAAAGCTGGGATAATAATAGTACTTAGAACACAGGATTGCTGTGTGGGTTAATTGAAATATTATATGGGACCCACTTACCCAGTGATTATCAGACAACTGCTATGTAAATGTTTCTCATGATAGTGATTGTGCATTTATTCATCTGTTTGAGTAGTTGTTATTTCTGCCCTTTTTTTGTTTTTCCTTCCTTATTGGTTCTTTTTTTTTTCCATTTGGATTGCCACTTGGGTTACTTGCTGATTGTGTTTTTCCTTGTCCATCTTAGATTTCTTGTTTTTGGAAAGCCTGAGCTTTGACCAGATGGCAGTAACATTTGAAGATGTGACTGTTATTTTTACTTGGGAGGAGTGGAAATTCCTGAGTTCTTCTCAAAAGAAGCTCTACAGGGAGGTCATGTGGGAAAACTACACAAATGTCATGTCACTAGGTAAAGTTATCCGAGCTCTCAGTGAATAGGCTTAGTTTCTACTTGAACCAGTTTTGTAGAATATTTTGGGTTGTCATGTGTGTGTTGTATGGTGAGTGGTAAAAGAAGTATTTTTAAAAATGTTTCTTAAATCAGGTGACATAAACAATGCAAGACATCTTCTCAGACACCTGGGGTATGTAATTAATAAATACCTGTTTTTATTGTTTTAATTCATTTTCTGGTTTATACACATTTTCTGGTTTAAAGCACAGATCTCCATGTAGAGTCAGTTTTGTGTAGTTCCAGATTTGTTTTCTCTTCACAGTATTTGTACAATGTAGCATTTGCTGTATAATAAACTATCTGAAACTTAGTGGCTTAAAACAACAAACTTTATTATTTTCCATAATTCTAATTGGCTAGATGGTGGTTCTGTCATGGAGTGCTTGATTGGGGCTCAGTCATCTATAAGATTGGGGGGTTGGATGCCATAAATGTGAGTATGGAAGTTTTCTCAGTGTTACTGAGGATGTTAGAGATGTGCTGGCCCCATGTCCCTCTTCAAGCAGGCTAGTCCAGGCTCATTTACATGAGGGTAGTTACAGGATTTTCAAAAGCAGTGAGAGGGAGGGAAAGCCCCACTGCACAAGCAATTTTTAAATCTCTGCTTGGGTCACTTTTGCTGATGCCCCAGTGACCAAAGCATGTTGCAGAGCCTAGACCAGAGTCAGTGTGGAAAGGCAACATCCAAAGGTAAAAGTAGAGAGTTAATGCAGCCATTGTTTCATACAGTCTGCCACATTATTCTAGAACACAAAAAATACAAATATTTTATTTCTTGTAATAATGCCCCAAATATAGGAATCTAATTAAATTTCAGTCTTTATTTTCATGAAGCAGTCAACCTTACTCTCTTGTTTTTGAACAGTGCCTGATAGATAATAGGTACTCAAGATAATGTTGTGGAATCAATGAATGAATGAATGCATAAATGAATAAACAAGCAAATAAATAAATTTTAGACCCAAATGGAGCGACCAGAGTTATAATGCTTCTTTCCTACACCAAAGTATATTTAGTACACATATTCTTTTCCTTTTCAGTCAGTTGTTATCACAGTTAATTGTTGATTTCATTCTTCTTTGTGCATTTCTTCATTCAACAAGGATTTTGGTATGTGGAGATAACAAAGATAAATTACATTACTCCTGCCTTCATTGAACTTGCAAAACTCTGGGGTGGGTGGTATTTCTTGTTATTTTCTGTCCATCCTGTTTTTGAAAACCGACCAAAAGAATTGGAGCACAGAAAAGGAATTCTCTGGTGATGTGATGCCTAAGGCATTTGACTGCTAGCGAGAAGGTTGGTGGTTCAAACCCACCAGCTGCTCCACAGAAGGAAGATGGGGCAATCTATTTCTGTAAAAATTTACCATCTTGGAAACCCAAAGGGAGTCAGTATTGACTTGATGGCTTTAAGTTTGGGGTTTTGGGGCAGAGAGCTGTTACATTGTGGGGAACTGCAGTCAGTGTCATGAAACAAAATGTGTATGAACTGCTGTATGGAAAATGAATTTGCTCCGTAAACTTTCACCCAATTCACAATAAAAATTAAAAAAAAAAAGAATTGGAACATAATACATTTGGATGTTAACTTTTTATTGCAAGTAGGAGCCTGAATGTTAATTTTCTTACTCTCAGACATGCAAAACAAAAAAATCATGAAGGATAAATAATGCAGCTCATTTCTTTGCATAAATAAATATTAAGTTCTTACAATTCTAGAAGTCATTGAGATAGTTGGAAAATTTTAAACATAGCTTGTATGTCATGACTGAATTATTTGCTTATTCTTCTAGGAAAGAGGGATGAGAGCTACAAACTCCAAGAAGAAAGATTCAGACAATTAGAACATGACAATCTTTCCTACTGGCAAGGCTGGAGGAATGCCAGCACCCAGATCCATGAAAATCAGAATTATGTGGAAACTGTTCAAAAGGTAGATTCCAAGGACCTAATACAGCAAGACCTTTCCCGCTGTCGAGAATGGTTCATAATCTCTACACAAGTACCAAGATGTAAGAACTATGAACTGACTTTTGAAGGCAAAAATTTCAGGAGCTTTAAATATAAGAAGTTTATACCTTGGCAGTCCCTAGAAACAGAACACACTCAAGATTATGGAAGAGAAATTTACATGAGTGAGTTACTTGGTTTTCAAGGCAACAGCTACCATCTTTCCATATCCAGGAAAAATCTCTCTGTGGAAAAAGAACAGAAGCTCATTGTTCATCATTCATACGTCCCTATAGGAAAAGCCCTTCCAGAGTTCATTGGTGAGATATGCCAAAATGACCTGCTGAAAGACTCTATGGAAGAGAGATACTGTGGATGTAGTAAATGTAAAGAAATTTATTGCTGGAACTCACAGTGTGTTCTCCACAACAGAAATCTATTTGGAGAAAAGCTCTATCAATGTTCCATCAGCACAGCATGCTTTTCTCAGAGATCAGACTTGTATAGACATCCAAAATTCCACATAAGTAAACATCTGTATGGATGTGATGAAGTTGACAGTCACTTTAGACAGAGCTCAGGTATTCACTGTCACCAGACAGTGCATACAGGGAAGGTACCTTATATATGTAATGTGTGTGGTAAGAGCTTCTGTCAGATCTCTAGTCTTCACGGTCATCAAAGAGTCCACGCAGAAGAGAAACTGTGTAAATTTGAGTGTGGTAAGGATCTGAGTAGAAATTCATTACTTCACATTCACCAGAGATTTCACATAGGAGATAAACCTTTTAAGTGTGATCAGTGTGGTAAGAGTTTCAGTCGGAGTTCAGTGCTTCATGTTCATCAGAGAGTCCACACAGGAGAGAAACCATATAAGTGTGATGAATGTGGTAAGGGCTTCAGTCAGAGTTCAAATCTTCGAATTCATCAGTTAGTTCACACAGGAGAGAAGTCCTATAAATGTGACGACTGTGGTAAGGGTTTTACCCAGCGCTCAAATCTTCAAATTCATCAGAGAGTGCATACAGGAGAGAAGCCATATAAATGTGATGACTGTGGAAAGGACTTCAGTCACAGCTCAGATCTTCGTATTCATCAGAGGGTCCATACAGGGGAAAAACCCTATATTTGTCATGAATGTGGTAAGGGCTTCAGCAAGAGTTCAAAGCTTCACACTCATCAAAGAGTACATACTGGAGAGAAGCCCTATAAATGTGAACAGTGTGGTAAGGGATTCAGTCAGCGTTCACATCTTCTCATTCATCAGAGAGTCCACACAGGAGAAAAACCCTATAAATGTGATGATTGTGGAAAGGGCTTTAGTCACAGTTCAAATCTTCACATTCATCAGAGAGTCCATACAGGAGAGAAGCCTTATCAATGTGCTAAGTGTGGTAAGGGTTTCAGTCACAGCTCAGCTCTTCGAATTCATCAGAGAGTCCACACAGGAGAGAAGCCTCATAAATACCATGAGTACTATAAGAAATGTGATCAAAATTCACATCTTCACAATCATCACAGAATAGAAACCTTGTAATTTTGTTTATTTAGTTAACAGCTTTAATCAAAGCTTAAACTTTAAACCAAAAAAGTGCTGCTGGGAAGGAAATCTTGTAAGTAACCCAAATAATCCCACTTGACATTTGTAGTTTTCTCTAATTCCCATTAAATCATTTGCTTTAAGACAAGATCCTTAGGAGGATTCCTGTATATTTAAAATTAAAGTGTATTTTCTTTTTCTATTATAATCCATAGTTGTTATAAAATATATAAAAGAATAAAGGAGAAAAGTCTTGTTTCATTCTATTCTTCTGCATTTTAACGTGCTTGAACTCATACTGTATGTTCAACTTTGCATTTTCACTGACCTCAAAACATTTTCTTAAAATTTGGTTTGAATTGAAACTGGCTAGCCATTTCTGAAACAGCATCTCTGGACTCCCTGATAAAGTCTAAAAAGCCACAGAGAAAGATGAATACACAACTTGAAATTCAAACTCCTAGACAACTTTACTGCTTGGATGTGGAAGAACTAATTAGATGGCTAGAATTCAGTTGCTGAAGAAACAAAGGCCACCTGATAAAAGAGAGGAGAGCATTTTATGACCTTGTATCTGAGATAGGATAGCTTAGATATATAACATATCTATTATCTCTCAACCAGAAAATGCTGAAACCAACCTGTTGCAGGGGTGTTGCACTTTAAACTACAAAACTCACTCTCATCCCGTCCTAGTTTTCTGTATTTACTTACAGCTTCTGACACAAAATTACTGGAGGAGAGGATTGTTTCCCTAAGTAAGTTGTGGAAAGTATGAGCAGAGGCAGGAAGAACACTGACAGGTAAATGCTAGAAACTGCAGATACTCCATTGGTTCAGGCATCCAAGCAGTAGAATTTTATTTCAGTAGAAAATGAGTTGTAGTATATGAATATATGCTGGTAACAATTTAACTCACCAAGGAGATCTGGTGATGTAATGCCTAAAGCTTTTCACTGCTACCCAGAAGGTTGTTGGTTCAAACCCCTAAGCCACTCTGCAGAAGAAGACTGGGCAATCTACTTCTGTAAAGATTTACTGCCTCAGAAACCCAATAGGGGTCACTATGAGTTGGAATCAACTCTATGGCAGTGGGTTGGGTTTGGTTTTTGGTATGTGCAACAATGAACCTCAAGCTAATTACATAAGAAGAAAATTTGGCCATTATAAAAATGGAGTAGTCACAAGTAAAATTAGTCTCCTTTGTGAAAATGTTACTGATTTCTGCAGTCTAGATGCTTCAGACATCCCCACCCTTCACCCTGCTTCCTTCAGTGTCTTGTTCAGGTTAGGAAGTCATGAATATAAATTTATCTTACTACATAGAAGGTTATTAACTAGATTGTGGATTGCTGCAGTTCCAAATTGTTACAAAAAATTTAGTTTGACAAAGTGAAGTTTGTGCTATGGTAGCATGGTTCTTCCTGCCACAGGACACACAAGATTGATTTTTTCATAGAATGTCCTTACATACAACTGATGGGTAAAAAGAGAACCTACAGACTGGCAAAAAATATTTTTTGTAAGTAAAATTCACAACACCAAAAAGACAATCCAATTCAAAAATGGGCAAAGGACATGAACACACACTTCACTAAAGAAGATATACAGGTGGCCAACAAACATGAGGAAATGCTTATGATCACTATTAGACGCATATCAAAACATCAATGAGATACCATTTCACCCCAGCAATAATAGCAGAGTTCTATAAGACAGGAAATAACAAATGCTGGTAGGGCTGCGGAGAGATTGGAGCTCTCAGACACTGCTGATGGCTGCAAAATGAATGGTACAGCAACTGTGGAAAATGGTATGGCATTTCCTTAAAAAAATGAAAATAGAAATACCATCTGATCCAGCAATTCCAGTACTAGGAATATACCCTGAGTTGAGAGACAGGACACAAACAGACATATGCATACCCATGTTCATAGCTGCACAATTCACTATAGCAAAGAGATGAAAACAACCTAAATGCCCATCATCAGATGAATGGATAACCAAACTGTGGTACATTCACACAATGGAATATTATGCAAAATTAAAGAATAATGAAGAATCCATGAATCATCTCACAACATAGATGAATTTGGAAGACATTATGCTGAGTGAAATAAGTATTGTGTGAGTCCATTATTGTAAAAAGTCAAAGAAAGGTTTACTGAGGGAAGGGAATTCACTTTGTTGGTTACTGGGAATGGGAGGGAAGTTCAGATTAGTTGGGGGTTGGTTATGTGTTGATTTGGATGAGGGAGGGTAGTATGGAAAGTGTGTGTAACCAGCACAAGGACAATTGGAAAAGGGAGGACACACAAACATGCACAAAAGATAAAGACAGCAGAGACAAATATTATTACATGCACAATACTGCATTACCACTGCAACCAAACACCAGGCTATGGGTAAATGCATAGACAGGTGAAAGATCAGGTGGGGATAGCAAACAGGAATATACCTAAGACCAAGGATAGATTTGGCTGAAGATAATCTTACATATGCACTTGTGCTGCAAAATTACCTACATACATTACAGAAGCAACGGAGGACAGGGTTGAAGTAGCTTCTCATAGACAACCAAACACCCTGAGAGATGGAATCACTGGCCTGCAGGCTCAGGACCATAGTTTTGGGGGACATCATGCTCAACTGGCAAAACATAGTACATAAAAATCTTGTTCTAAATTCTTCTGTGGTGAGTAGCAACTGGGGTCTTAAAAGCTTTCAAGTGGCCATTTAAGATGCAACTATTGGTCTCTCATCTGGAACAAAGAAGAGGGAAAGAAATCAAAGTCATCTGAAAACAATCAGTCCAAAGATATGACAGACCACGAGGACCACAGGATTCATGACCCCAAGACCAGAACTTGATGGTGCCTGGCTACCAATGCCAACCACTCCCAAAGGGATCAAAATTGGAGATTGTGGATAGAGTGGGGTGAAAAATGTGAGACAATTTAAAAACACAAAAATGAGCAGAATTATTGGTCAGATAGAGATTGGTGGAATACCTGAGAGTATGGCCCCGGCTTATACTTCAGGTCTGGAAATGGACTCACTTCTGTGGACTGGCTATCAGCCCAACAGTAGAAAGACTTACATGCAGAACACCTACCCCAGGGCAATGCACTCACCTACTCTAGGGAGCTGCAGGCCTTAGATCAACCAGCCATGTGACATCAGAGGGGCAGGATTCACATAGAGGGAAGGCTGGACAGACAGGAATGCATAGATAAGAAAGGCACAGGGAGGTTAGTCACACAAGGAATATAAAATCTGCTTTGTAAATTTGTACCCAAAGCATAATAAATAATTAAAAAAAAACAAACAAAAAACTGTGGGAGGTGGGGCAGGGCACACAGGCTCTGTCAGGGCACACAGACTGGGATAGAATTCCTGCTGGTCCAGAAGGTGGGTGGAGGTGGGGAATGGCTACACCTCCATTCATGAAGAGGGTGTGGGGTACTCTTGCAGAGTAACAAAGAATATCGCACCTTTATAGTTGCCGGCCTCCAGTGTGGTTGCCTGTGCTGTCCTTGGCAAGCGGAGTCTATTCTTAGGTTGCTGGGATTAGAACACCACTTGCAAGTATTCAAAATGGCTGCACCCTCATGCAGCTGGAAGTCCACACCTCAGTTTGTCTCCTTATTTGCTGTTTCCTTTCTAGTTGTCAGCCCCCACTGCAGTTGTCCATGCAGTCCTTTGCGAGCAGGGCCAATTCTTAGTTTGCTGCTCAGATCCTAACGCCACTTGTAAATATTCAAACTGGCCATGCCATCAGGATAGCCAACAGTCCACAGCTCTGTTTGTCTTCTCATTTACTGTTTTCATTCAGGTTCTTCTACTAATTGCTATTTAATCCACTTCTTTAACCTTCCCTCCAAAACTCAGGGTTCCAGGATTATCTACTGTATTTGTTTCAATTAGTTTCTCATTTCTTTGTTGAAGAAGATCTGTGTAGCTTTTCTGCCATTTTGCTGGAGGCCCTGATTTTCACTTTTGAGTCTGATGGCCTGGTTCTTTTCTTACCAACTGAAAGTGCTGAAATAAGTGACCCTGTATTGCATCTATTAAAGCTCAGCTTTCCTAAACAATTTGAAGAATATGAAGTTGAGACTTAATTCTGGGATGGTTGTTGGCACAAACAAAAAAGCTATACTGCAGTAGGCAGCATAATGCCACCCAAATAAATACCTATGTCATAGTCCTCAGACCTGTGTATATATTAGGTTACATGGCAAAGGGGAATTACGGTTGCAGATGAAATTAAGATTGTGAATCAGCTAATTTTAAAATAAGATGATCCCTGGTGGTACAAATGCTTTAACCTCAACAACTAAAGGTTGGTAGTTCGAACCCACTGAGTAATGCTGTGGAGGAAAGGCCTGGCAATCTGATTCCATAAAGATTACATTCAAGCTAATGCTATGGAGCAATTCTACTTTGTAACATTTGGGGTCACCATGAGTCAGAATCAACTTGATGGCTACAGGGTTTATTTTTGTTTTTGTTTTCCCTCTTAGCATCCTGGATTAACTGAGTGGGCCCAGTGTAATCAGAAGGGTCCTTAAAAGTGCTTTGACAAGGGAGGCAGAAGAGAGTCAGTTAGAGGAAGATGTGACAATGGAAGAATAGAAATACAACACTACTGTCTTTGAAAATGAAGGAGGCTGTGAACCAAGAAGAATGGGTATCCTCTAGAAGTGGAAAAGAACATGGAAATGGATTCTCCTCTAGTGTCTCCACAAAGGAATGCAGCTTTGCTGACATCTTAGTCTAATAAGACCTGCATTGGTTTTCTATCCCACAGAACTCTATGATAATGAATTAGTGTTGTTTAAGCCACTAAATGGGAGCTTTGGTAGCATAGTGCCTAAGGCACTTGATTGCTAGCCAGAAGGCTGGCGGGTCAAACCCACCAGCCACTCCTCGGAAGGAAGATGGGGCAACCTACTTCCACAGTGATACTGCCTTAGAAACCCAAGGAGGGGTCACTA